TATATATATATATATATATAGAGAGAGAGAGGGGGGGGGGGGGGAAGAAAGTGCAGCCGTTGAGGAAAAGTTCGCGTTAAACAAAGCGTGAATGATTAAGTAAGCTTTCTAATAATGCAACAAGTTTGTTCTTAAAATCATAAACAATTAAAATTGAATCGCGTTGTCTGTAATGTTAAACTTACAACGAGGAAGGCATACCGACCGATCGGAACGATCATTTTTATCGAAACAATAGCAGCGAAGTTACCGAGTTCTTCATGCAAGCGTACACATCGAGAAAAATATTTTACGAGTCGACGCTCGGATTTGTCAATTCTCTCCCAAGACGTAGGTAAAGAACAAGAGAGTTATGGAATTTATCGGGATACTCGTCGCTAGGAAGGCAAAACACAAAGCAATTCCACCGGCATCTGCTTGACATTCGCGAGAGTGTACGGTGGGGATGAGAGGACGGTAATGAAATGGGGAAGGAGAGCTGTTGCATCTACAACTTACTGACTTACTTTAATAAATTATTGATGATCTGGGTGGAGAGCCGAGGATCGGTGAATTGCGTCGTCCGATTGTTATGGTCGACGAAGTAGACGCGGCCGCTTTGCGTTTGGCGCATCTCCCAGCCGCTGGGCAGGGGCCCCAGCTCCAACTCGTTTGCCGAGACGTCGCGTGGTATCCGGGGGTCGTGCCACGTCGAGGCGCCAGTCGGCACGTGGTAGAAGTACACCTGGCCCTGTTGGGTCTTCCTCATTTCTAGCCTCCCCAACAAACATACACCAATGACATTAAAATGCATTCTTTTTCTTTTTTCATCCCCCTCATTTTGTAGCAGCGAGCGCGCTTTTCGACATTCGACATTTGATAAAATAGTGATTGGGAAGCGACAGCGCCTAACGTGCAATATATCTTGTTGTTATGAGATTGTGTACAGATGTTTGCAGAAATATGTGTACGGTATCGTTAACTTGGAGCACTTTCCTCGTAGAGTGCGACAGCGTTTTTTTTTTTTTTTTTTATACAAAAATAATGAATATAGCATTGCACGCCGTAATTAATATTATCGGGTGATTAATGTCAAATGCCAGCTCGTTAGTTATTTGCTAAAACAGAGCTCATTTTCATTCCGAATAATTTAGATTTTTCTTCTTTTTCTTTTTCCCATTCGAATACTAGAATTTTCGCTTCAACGGGAACTCAAATTTTGAATGCGATATTTTATCAAAGTGCGCGGCTATGTTTCTCTTATTCTATGTTTCTGTTTATGAGATAAATATTGCAAAATCGTCCAGCAGATGGTACATTATTACAACTAAATGTTTTATGCGCAAAATCTACATTCACGAGATATACATAATATCTATAAGGATCACACGACGACTTCAATAACAATAATTTAGTAAATGCGAATATGAGACTGTAAATAATGTTCCTCGTGTCAGAAATATCTTTTGTTCTCAAAAATTATTCACCATCATTCCTTCGTGAAATGTGAAATAGCGAGCAGCTTTCGTCGGAATAATTTAGCGTTAAGACGCGCTAAAAGCCCATGGCTTTTTTCTTTTTCTTTTCCTTTATCTTTTACCGAAATGATATCTCTCCTTCTTAATTTAATATTCCCGACTCATTTTAATGGGAATAATGAATTCAAAATATAGACTAAACATAAGCTGCTCCTTCCGGGCCTATTAAGCGGCAAATAATGTCTCGCTTAAAATAGCACAATTTAAAAATCGAGTCGAGTGGCGGCAAGTTGTTTGGAAAAGCAAGATTAAACGAGCTCTGGCGATGGGAGTCGGAGGAATGCTAAGAGCGAGCGACACCGAGCGACACCGAGCGACACCGAGCGACACCGAGCGAAACACGGGGACTCTTTATTCTATAATTACTGTCGTGTCCAGCGGTAAGAGACTCACCGTATCCCCTGGGTAGATCCAGCGGCTGGGCCTCGGTCCTCCTCTCGGTGACGTTCCTCGCCCGGCCGGGCCTGCTTGGCTTCCTCGTCTGGCCCGTGGCCGTGTTCCGAGGCGTCGACTGCTGATTACCGTTTTGCTCATCGCTGGGGGTTCGAGCGGGCCTCGGGGGTCGGTCCCTGCCTCCGGAGGCGGTAGACGTTGGCCTTGGACCCGGACTCGGCTGCGTCGGCGTACCTCGAGGCGTCGTCTGGGCCGAGCCCTCGCGACTCGGGGTCGTGCTTCCGGCGTTACTGGGACTGGAGCCCTCGGGGACGGGTCGCGAGCCGCCCGGGCTGCTCGAGCCCTCGGGGACATTCGAGGGACTGTCGCCACCGCTGCCCGCGGGCGAGCCCGACTCTGGGCAGGGAGCTGACGTTGGCTCCGGGTTCGTTGGTATTACCGCGTTACTGGGTCTGCGATGAGGAGGCTCAGGATCAGATTAAGCAGCAGCCCCGAACATTTATTTTACTGCGGATGGCTTTCGTATATTGGGAGCAAATTTTGGCGCGACTTACGCGACGTAAGATCGTGCGATCATCAAATCGAGCTGCTGTATTCGAGTTCGTCGTAACGCGAAAGGAATTTAACAACGGTTTCTCAACAACAAAAAAAAAACAAAAAAAAAACAAAAAACAACAAAACAACAAAAAAACAACAACAACAAAAAAACAAAAAAAAAACATAAATCAATAAATCCCGTGGAAATATAAAATATGTTAAAAATCTTGGATGTAATGAAGGCGTTCGTTTCGAACGATCTAAGATTATTGAATTTAGTTGGATGAAAACATTTAAAAATAATATCATAATGCTACGACAACATTATTTTTATTTTGTTATTAATTCGTTCGTCTATTTATGTGCACGAAAACATTAATTGGCTTAAGAAAGAGGAAAAAAACGGACGAGCGTCTATAACCTAAGTCATCATGTCATTATTACATATCTTGCATCTTTCACGAGCTAATATTTATAGAAAAATTTTTTTTGCACTTTTATGTATTTTTTATAACAATAGTTCGTCAAATGTTGTACGCGAAATTGTTTCAAATACAAATACCATAATTTTCAATGTCAAATCAATTTAAAAACGATGCTTCTTTCTTATCTTTCATCGTAGTGCCAAGTATAAGAAATCGAATCGAAGGTTTTTCTTAATCTAAATGCTCTTAAATAATCATCTATCTAGGAGTGGCATTACTTGGAACAGTTGGACGGACTATATTACAGTCATTGCTCGACATACAATCCAAGGTCATATTTAATGAAAACCGTACGTTCCAAGTTTACCGAGAGTTTGGACGGATCCATTGTGTGGTGCGAGTGTAATGGTTAACGTAATAAAGCCTGCCGCTCTGGGTTCTCCTCTCCTCCCAGCCATCGGGTAAGTCCGTCGGGCAGCTGAGGTCTCCCAGGAGGTCGACCACGGCGTTGTGGCCGACGGTGTTGCTAACAGCCCCGTTGTGCCCATCGCGCGATAGTAGCGAGACTACGATCTGGCCCTTTATGACATCCGTGTCGTCGGAGTTGGCTTTGCAGAGATCCAAACGTTGATCTACACAGGCGCACGAAATCAGGATCATATTAGAGTTGCGCAGGGATCGCGTGCTACGAATAACTCAATACGATTAAACAATGCATTATTATGAGAAAACGTTGCACGGAAATTGTAATTTCATTTGTTTAGCGATTGCGTATGCATTTACATTTATCGAATCACGCTACGAATATTCTCTTTCCTTCTCTATTACTATTCTATTTTTAAAATTCTCACATTTATTAAATTACATATTTAATAATACTTTGAGCGGCATTACAAATAGAATTAATAATTAATCTGTTATTCAATAAGTATTATTTGTTGCTTATTTGAGGCAAATATTACATACATTTATAATTAAGTATCTGATACAAGATGTTTGATTAAATCATTTGGATGAATCGTACAAAGGAAAGTCACGAGTAATTTGTGCATTAAGCAATTATTTACAAGTGACAAAATTTTATTCTATTTTATTGCCAAGCTTTTAATATATTGTATCGATATAATATATAAAAAAAAAATTAATGTAATTTTTATATTGGAAACTATTAATCTTTACCTTTGTTAAATTTTTACGTTTGTCATTATGTTTTATTTATACTTTACACGCTCGTGACGAGTTTAATGAAAATAATTAAATATAAAAATTATTAAAAAAAAAAAAAAAAAAAAAAAAAAAAAACATATTATTAATAGTTAATGTTTATACATATTTCTTACATCTAAGACAATATGTTAATTTTGATATAAATTTTTGGCAAATATCATTCGATTGAAAATTTTTGACATAATATTTATGACTATCACATAAATTGCGCCATTTTCTAAATTTAAAGCTCTGAATTTTCAGATTTGACAATCGGTTAACTTTACTCATCCTTAATAAATGACTTTATAATACATTTCTTAAACTTTGTGCAATATTAAAGGTTTTATTTTTATTTATTTATTAATTATTATTATTTGTTTTGCTTTTAAAGCGCCATCTCACGTATTTTTGTGTTGCATAAAAATTTTATTGATATCGAAATTAATTAAACAGTGACTACTTTCTAAAGTGTAAAAGTCGTAAAATTTACTTGATGAACAAACGGTTTAAAATAAGACTAGAGGTATACGAGATTTTAAAGTTATAATTACATCCAGTATTCTTGAGCCTTTGAATAGTGTTTGACAATATTCGCACGCATCCGAGAAAACCTCCACCCTGTTTTTTGTGGATTTTTCGGTGATTCCATACCGATATTGTAATACCGTCATTTTTCCCAATGTACCTAATAAATCAAATCAAAATTAGATGATAAATTACGAAAATTATTGACAAATATTTATGAAGAAATGTGTGTAATATTTTCCGCACATTAGTTAAACAATTTATTTAGCTTAAACTTAATTTAATTTGAAAATTAATAATTGTGTGAATGCATAGTTATATGGATATTTGGATGAAACTGTGAAAAATGTTTATATCCTGGCATACTTATTACTTATTAATAACATAATTTACTTGTAAAAAATAAAAATATGTTTTAAAAGCATTGACATTGAAATGTGTCGTGAACGAGGTTGTCTCTGAATATTAATAAGAAATATGTATACTTATCGGTGCAATAGTTTTGCAATTTTTAATTGAACAATAAACAGAGTATAAAGTCAAATAGATTGTTAATAACGTGGGAACATAAGATATATAAAAAGTTCTAAAACTTACAAATCATAATGCTGATTCCACTTTGGATCTAGAGTAGCTTTACATGTGTCAGTGCTGTGACACTGACCAGAACCATCGACAGTAATTTTGGCAAAAGGGTCAGGTAGACCTACAATGATGAAATCCTTAATACTCCTTGCTCTCAACATTCAACATAATTTCAAATAAAGATATTAAATAACCAATCATAATATTTATTACGTACGAAAAAGATCTTTCCTTGCAAGATTGCGAGCACATAAGACTGAAAGTAAAATAAACAAATTAATGGGTAATAATAAATTTTAATTGAATAATTTCTGCCATAATAACAAATAATCTCAATTATATTAATTAGAATTTTAAAAATTTAATCGAATGAATTTCGAAGCAAGAGAGTGACAAATAATATGAATGAACATATTAAGATGAATATATGAGAGCCAAATTGAAGAAGAAGGTCTTGCTTGGTAAGAGGAGGAAAAGTTCGCTTGCTACACAGAGTTATCAATTAAGAAAAAGCACGCGCGTCTTTTTATACCGCAAACGGCGGTGTTTTAAGCCAGGCAACTTCTCTCCCTCTTTAGATGAATTCAATTGGTGGCTGCATTAATTAGACTTCATTTACAGCTAAGTTTAAGGAACTGGAATATAAGTCTACAAGGCTCAAATTCACAATTTTCACACATTTCATATTCTAACACAGAGGTTACTCGATCAATAAATAATTGCTGAAGAATCTTTAGAGCAAACGGGACTTAAAAATTAAAAATTGTTGTATCATTGCTCTTTATACATAAAATCATCTTTGAATAATTATTATTGTATTTGGATAAATACATGCACCTTATGATATAAATATTGACGAATTCTCAATCCTTTAAATGTTAATCATTTAGATTGCAGTTCATTATTATAATTAAAAGCGATTATAAGAATGTGAAACCACTGAATCATTTATCAAATATTTTTTTTGTAAATTTCAAGTATTTCTTGTGTCCTCTGATCTCATACATTAACTAGGAGTTTGATAAACTATACATTCTATTATTTAACAATAGTTACATTCAAATTTTATTATTTTTATTTTATAAATAATTTTATAATGGTTTAATCATTCCCAATTATCTCATTCTGTGTGCCTGATACTATAGTATAAAATAATCGTATTACTACACATTTGTCACTCACGCACTCACGCACGCACGCACGCACGCACGCATTTGTGACATACGCAAGTAACGTACGTGCATACATGCATTGATTGATCTATCTATCTATCTATGCATACATGCATGCATGCATACACACACACACACACACACATATATATATATATATATATATACGCGCGCACACTCAAGCATACGTATAACCAAGTCTTTACTATATTTCACAAAATATTCCAAACACATCCATATAATAATAGTCTTTAAAAGTTTTGTGAATATATTAATATTTATATTCTATTTTTAAAATGGGACCGTTTTGAACAAATATTAAATTAAATATAACATTAACCATAAATTATGAGCACTTTGATTATTAACATAAAATTTTTGTTTTATCTATATCTGACGGGTATTTATTATTTCATAAGATTAATATTTTTTATTCATTGTTATTGAACACTTGCTAATCTTATAATTAATATAAGAAATAATATTGGACGTTTAAATTAAGATTAAAGTAATCTTGATGACATCCTTTCTATATGCGAATACACAGGAGACTTGTAATAAACTTTGGAAAAAAGATATTATAACATTTTTCTTCTAGAAAAACATGTTGCCACTCCCTATTAAAATAAACATATAGAATTATTAAATTATCGGATCGAGTCAGCTTTGCTTATAACTTTGACATTAACGAACCCATCAAATGCTTTGCTCTAAATGGCTTTCTTGCGATATAGTTTATTGCTCGTGTCAAAGAATAAAAGTAAAAAAAAAAAGATAAAAAAAGATTAATTTATACATCGAAGGACCCTAATCGATTATATTCACTTCACTGCACCAAAAACATACATTTTACACAATCTTGAGGCTTAAAACGACAAACAATGAATCTTGAAAAATACTGGTGTATAGGCAACGATCGATACTGTAAGGGAGCTAATGTAATAATATTGATATCGCTAAGAAATACTCAAGAATACATTTTAATGGGAAAATTTCTACACACTCATGACCCAGAAATGGATAGCAATACTTAGATACGATGGAAGCAGACCATCCTGGAAAGTACATTTCTAAAAAAATAACAAAAGAACCTAGTCTTTAATATCTCACGATGTTTGCGAGTTACAAATCACTAATTAATCACAATAAATGGAACAATCCATGAAGGATTGTAAACAAATCAAACTTAATGTCTGGTATAGAATCATAGATGCAGCGAAACTCCAAAAGAAGTAACGTTTGCTCGGCGCAGGAAAAGCATTATGATATATAAGGACGTTGGACGAGCATCGAAAGGTCTAAGCGAAGAAGAACTATTTGCTCGTTGGAAAATTACAATGGAGCACTCTGGTATAAAATCATGGCTCGTACTCTTGCTCCTGCACTCATATTATTGACAAGGTTTCTGTGTCCAGAGCCAGGGCAATACGTTAGTCTAGCTACAAGGATACATAAGCAGCTTCCAGTGGCCAAAGTAAACGTCGCCACAAAAGAAGCTGGATTCCTTTTGATCGACACAGTGTGGGAATTGGAGGATGAGGATGAGGAGGCACATAGAGGCGCCAGAGCTCGGTGCATGGCTTCGTCTCTCTCTCTCTCTCTCTCTCTCTCTCTCTCTGTCTCACTCTCACTCTATCTATCTATCTATCTATCTATCTATCCGACTGTCTCTCTTTCACTCTCGCTCACTCGCACACTCGCTCTTTCTCCCTCGATCCTTAACGGCGAAGCCATATTGAATAATGCACAACAAAACAGGGTACAAGGTGCACAACCGTCGTGAACAAGGAAGCGCAGCGCCAAAAGGCGTCCAGTCAGACTCACTCGTCAGGCGGATCTTCGTCGCCGCGGTCCTGCTACCGCCAGGGTTCGACATTCTTGAGGCACATTTGAAGCAACACCTCTTGTGGGGAGCGCAGCACCGCAAACGCGCGCGCGCACCTCGACTCGTTCGCTCGACACACCAGCAGCACCAGCAGCACCAGCAGCACCAGCAGCAGCAACAGCAGCAACAGCACCACCACCACCACCACCACCACCACCACTACTACTACCACCACCACCGCTATCAGCACATGCGATGCGCCCTCTCTCTCTCTCTCTCTCTCTCTCTCTCTCGTCAGGCTGCCGTCGCGAGGCGCGCGGTAAATAATGTGGACTTCTTGACCGTAGGTATACGGAATGCGCGTCCGTGCGTATGGCCGCCGCGCGCAAACACCAACACCCCTCTATACGCTGGTTCTCGAATTAAGAGTCGAGACACGAGACAGCCAGACCCTGCTGATTACTGTTATATGGGCTCTCTCGCTCCCACTCTCACCCTCCCGCTCCTCGCGAGAGCGGGCTTTTCGAGCGGTGACGGACCAGCGAACGTGGGTATCACGGGCGCCCGCTCACCGCCCGGCCAACTCCATCGGCATCAGTGCATGCGGGTATCGCCGCTGCGGGCCGCTAGTCGGCACAGGAGTGGGCCAATTACGTCTCCCTACGAGCGCGGATGGGGCATCATCGCCATGCCAGCTGGATCTTTTAATGATCGATTGGACGGCGGCGCTCCCGTCGGTTCGCCACTCTTTCGCCGGGATCCTCTTCTGCTCTCGCACACGGCCAACGCGACGCTCCTCCTCCTTCGTCGAGCAGCCTTTTATTGTCCGCAACGACGAAACGGCCCGGCGGCGAATTCTCTTTGGACGGTTCGCGAGTCTGTCGCCCGATACGAAGAAGAAATTCACGCACGCTGGCGGTTACTCATCGAGGCTCAAAACTCATATATCATCGTCTGTCCTCCTTTTGCTTTCGTTTTACCCTTTGGCCGACCAGCTCGGCAAAGTTATCCCAATCGATCGTTCGTAAACATTCCCCCTCCCCCGCCAATCCCTCACGCCCCCCTCGCACCTCGGCGCTTATCGCTAAATTCAAACATTGATTCGCCATTTCTAATGAATATCGATCGAAGCACCATCTATCCTACCTGTCTTCGATCAACGCTATCTTGCTAAAGTAGAGTCGCCGTGTCAAAAGTGAATAACAACATAGCAGCTCATAATTAAGTTCATTTGCTTTTTGTAAGCGGACCTAGCAATTAATTTTCCCCAAGTAATTGCTGAATGGTAATTGCTCGGCGATCTTTCAACAACGTCGATTTCATTCGGCAGCCAAAGTTACTCCTCACCATCTATGACAGTTCAATAAACTAACTGGACTTCGATATATACATATATATATATATATATATATATATATATTAAGTACGTTAAATTGTTAAAATTACAAAAATACTTTTATAAACGATATCCCAACAAATCTGCAAATTAACAATGCGCTTAATTGAAAAGCGTTAAGAAAATTAAATAACGTAAAGTGAAAGTACAATAACGTATATATGTATAAATGTAACTTTAAAGACACGTAATTGTAAAACTTTTGCTTAGCTAAAAATCATTGAAGTACCCTCACGTTATTAATGCAGCAAATAAAAAAAGACGACTATAATGATTGTGCCGAATACCGTGATGTATTTATGCGCAAATAATTTTTTTTTACTAACGTCTAGCAAACTACTATCTGTTAAAAAAAAAAAAAAAAATATATATATATATATATTACATATAAATTGATTCTTTTGTAGCCATCTTTGTCAATAAATTATTTGCTTGAATCAAAATATTTCTATCATTCATTTCAAAATAGTTTTCTAGTCTAATAGCGATATATTTTATAGATATTATTTTAAAAAAGTTAAAGACCAACTTATTCATATATTAATTTACTTTCAAATTAATTACTTTATTATTATACTCGCAAGTGGATGATATAAAAGTTGATTGTCGTTATATATATATATATATATATATATATAAGGGAAATAAAACAAATTAAAATTTATTCAAATAGTTGAAATTTTTGCTACTTTTATCATACCACCTATTTCATTTATTAAAATTAATTCAATATTTCTCATTTTATTTAAAAAATATTTATACAATTCATCGCCGTCATACAACCTAATTTAATACCCAATCACAAAAACGTATTAAAATCGACAATATTTAAATTAAAAAAAGAAAAAAAAAATTATAAGAAATTTTCTAAATAAAAAAAATTTTTACAGAGAAAACTGTGATTCGTAAACAACTGTTGTTTTGTAAAATGGAAAATAATTGCAATTTTTCCAATAAATAACGTTATTTTCATATACTTACAAAACCTTACATAAAAAATATTGCAAAAGTTTTTACATTTTATACATTATGTAAATTAATATATGTGCTATACATGTAGCAAGAATCAATATTAAAACAGAAAGAAATCATTAAAGTAATTTTTATGTTAAATACAGAGAGTGGTTTTATTATGGTATTTATTTATTATTTATTATTATTTATTATTATTTATTATATTATATTATACTATATATATATATATATATATATATATATATATATATATATAATTATATATTATGCTAAGATAGTAAATATCGAGAAACAATTTAAAATCCGATCTATCGTTATTAGTTTTTTATTTAGGTATTTACATAAATTAGAATGTTGAAAAACAATATTTTTTTCATTTTACCCTAATTATTAATATTCTTATAAAAAAAAAGAAAGAAAAAAATCATTTTACAATTTGCTTATAACACTGTACATGTATCTTTTAACTTATGGTCATTAACGTCATTGTTTTGTTTAATTACGTATTGCCGAATACAAATGTTACAATAGCTTATGAACGTATAGAATAACAACGATGGGAACACTTATTTATGATCCGATTTCATAAATATTCCTTGTCAGTAGGTGAATTATTGCAGATTACCTATAAACAATAATATTTGAATAGCCAACTTCAACTGTATTACCAACAATAATATTCGAAAGCAAAGCAATAATCTTTTTTTGATATCTTATTAATATTGAAACTGTCACATTTTTAAACTTACGGAAATTTGCTTTGCACCTGTTAATGAATCAGATAATCAATACGATGTAAAGGTCAAAAGTGTTATTTTTTACCGTAGTAATTTATAATATTTTAATACGATGAACTGAAATAAAATGATATCAATAATAAATACAATTTCATTATGATTGTTTAATACAAAATTTTACAAAGTTAATTTATCTAATAAAATTGATTAATGCCTCGTTTAGATGATACGGGATGTATTATTGATTAAATATTTCTTTGATAATTATTTGTGAATATTTGTAAATTATTTATAATAATATTTTGTAAGTAAGATTATTAAAGAAAAATTATTATGAACATTCGACATAACGATGATTACTATTAACTTTACTGTATGATAACACATCAAAATTGTGATGACATATATATATTATAGATTGTTTTTATACTTATTGTTTTAAATATCAAATGACTAGCAGAAAGATTAAATTTTATTAATTTTACATTATAACTAATATTTAATAAATATATTATTAGTATTATTTTCAGAATTAATACTTAAGAATTTCATAATCCAATCCAATCATTTAAATGGACTTTGAAAACTATTCAGAATGGTTTTAAGACAAAAAGCATTTATTATTACATACAATATTAAATTAAATTATTTTTAATAAATTGATTTATTTTTTGAAATATTATTCATGACAGTGATTAATAATGGGAAACAATTTTACGAAGTGTTTTACAAATGACAGCAAATTTACTAATATTTTTATGATCATGTTTCGGCTTTATATGTTTATAAAATAACATAAAAAATATTATACAATAACAATAATATTAACACTTGCAAATAAAAATATTGTTTAATAAGTAAATCCTATTTGTACACGTTAATTTTATTGTATTTTTTACTCAAATTCAGAATATACAATTGGTAATCAACATATTAATTAATATAAGTTAAGTATTTGTAATTATTAAATTAATCATATACAAATTTAAAAAAAAATTCATTTATATTACAAGAATTATCGAGATAAAAAGTCAAAAAAATAATATATTAAATAGATAACGCGTATTAATATGCAATTATTAATGCGCAAAGGCAAAAATTTATAGTTCTTACTCATATTGTCATAAAATTATAATTCAGAGCTTAAAGAATCAAACAATATTTGAAAATTCTTTTCAATGAAAACTTATATTATGAAAATACAAATATTATACATAAAAATATTATTAATTATTAGGCGTTTTACAAGTCGCTTAAAATTACATTGATAGCAATATTTTTCCTTTATAATTTTCTCAATTTCGAATTGAATGCAGAGGTCTCATAAATCGATAGATAATTCAATGAAAATAAAAGAAAAAAAAGTTTACTTTAGAATTATTTGATTGAACATCACCTGACTTAAAAAATTCTTAATCAAATATACTGTTGATTTTATTATGAACTATAGCATACACATTCTATACATATCAGTTATTTATTAAATCTACAAATATTTATAATTAAAATTAATCATATTATAATTAATAATATTACATAGCTGAATATACCATAATTAGCATAAATAGTAAATCATTTTATAAATTACATACATTTCTTTTATACAAAAATTTTCACTTTCAATTAATAGAAATAAACAAATTTGGCAGCTATTACAAATACAAATGATATAATAATAAGGCAATAAAAATTAAATAGTAAATAAAATAATTTATAATTTTAATTAAAAAAAACGTATTTTAACAATATTTTTAAAGCTTATTGTAATTTATCATTTAAATACAATAATTGCTTTTCAAATATTTTGAGCATGAAATTATAAATAATAAATTATTTATTAATTATTATTATACTATATTATTAAATATATTAATGATTACTATAAAATTTTTCAGTTGGTGATTAAATATATAATATAATACAATGTTTTCTATACTTTATCGAACTAAGATTTTTATTTTCATATAATCAATGCAATTCATTTTACGATCTCTTTTAATACGGTTTACTATAAAATGTTATTTTATTGTCTACTATTGGA